TACAGGAGCATATGGAAGATTTCACCACTAACATGTACTTTGCGCCATGTCTCCTTCATGAAAGTGGTGAATACCTTTGGGACATGTATGTCTCCATGTTTTATGCCTCGTCACATATGCATGAGTGTGTATTTATCTATCTCCATATCTATCTATCTATCTATCATGATCATCCATCATATCAATACATGTATATATTTGCCTGTCATGATATTAAAGATCAGGGAGAGCTGCAAAGGTTAACCCTATTGTTATATCTTTCAAAAAATTTCACATTATTTTGATGGATGGATGGAGACACCACATTGGAAGAAATCCTTTAGGTCAACATTTTGCTCCACTAAATCAAAAAGGTTTTCAAATAGTAAAGAAATAATAAGCACAATGGGATCTTGTATTTGATGCTAAATATGTGATTCACTTTGTAATATCATTGAAGAAAGCCTATCTGTTCCCAACTAATATCCCTATCGAGAATGACCTCAATGCATAAATATGTCTATATTATAGCACATCGTTCTCTGAGATCTATATGCCATAAAATTTTATGAAAAAGGAAAGTAGGTATGTAGTTAAATAGCTGTTGGTTGCCCTTAAGGGAAATTAAGGTCTGAGATTCTTTTCCATGCCTTTAGTATCTTCTGTTTTTTCAGATACCTTATGACTCAACCCCTCAATGTTTGCAGTTATATCACCTCCAGCACAGGTCCCCTTTAAGTACTCTTGGCTTTTATTCCCTTCAGTCCCATTTCTCCCTCTAAGTACCTCTAGGACTGTGATGTTAGAGGTCAAGCATGGTGCCTCCACTTTCCTTGATGTTGAATAGAGTTTGTCATAAAAATCTTGTCTTATCTTTTCTCTTTTTCACCATTTTGTGGTCCTTCTTCCAGGCTCAACCTTAAATCCATTCAGAATGATTCTGTTAAGTTCACTTTAGCTCTCTCATCAAGCTTTTTAAAACTGGGTTTTACCCTTCAGTGCTTCTCTCTGTTTTATGAGGCAATGCCGTTCATAAACTACCATCATTCTTCTTTGTGAGATATTACAAATGAGCTTATGTTCAAAATGATATTGTCCTTGGCAGCCATATCTCTACTTGGTGAGTATGCCAAGCTACTGAAGTACTTTTGGGGTTTTTTTTAGTTTCCCTATGACAAACGATTTATATTGGTTGAACTTTAATCAATCAGATATTTATATTAAGTGCCTGCTATATTCTAGTTATTTAAAATAAACATTTATTGAGCACCTACTAAGAGCTAGGCAATATGCTAAGCAGTAAGCTAGGTGCTGGGGATACAAGCATTTTATTAGCTGCCCAATATGCGCCAGGCATTGTTAGGTGCTGGATATATGAAGTATATATATGCTGGGTATATGAAGATAATTATGAAACAGCCCCTGCCCTCAAGAAGCTTACAATCTTTTAGTTCATAGAACATCTCCATCTACAAATATATACAAAACGTACAATGTAATGCCTGGTAATTTCAGGGTGGGCAGAGGCACCAGCAGCTGGGGAAGACCGAAGATTCCTTGGAGTATCCATTTCTTTTTTTTTAGATGATGCCTAAAGCTATATGCAGCCCATCAAAACCCTTCTGGATTCAGACTCACCATCTGGGGGTTAGATCTCCCTCCCTGCCTTGTGCCATCTGTAGATTTGATGATGAGACTGCCACCCATGCCTTTGTCTAAATCTCTGCTAAAAATGTTAAGCAGCTTGAGAGAGAAGACCCTCATTCCCTTCATTTAGGGTGAATTTTGGCTAGCCCTCCCCTCCTCTGACAGCACCTCTCAGGGTACAGAGCTGTACAGAGCTCTCATGATTTCTCTCTGTTTCCTGTACAGATATCTTAGCTGCTTCTTGCCAGAGATTCCACGTGGGCTGGGAATGTGTCTTATCTAAATTCTGTGCCTCCCTCGGTGCCCTGAAGTGTTGGAAGAGCTGACGTGGGATTGGGGCCCAGTTCTGTGGTTAGTTGTGTTTATGTCTGATTTTGTACCCCCTTCCCCCCATACGACTGTGGCCTCAGAGAACAGTTTGGCTGGGAGTACTGAGAGATGAGTCTAAACCTTTAGGCTTTTGGACTCCTTTTGAGTTAGGATAATGAGAAGTTCATTTTGGGTGCGGATCTATCTGGAGACAGGCTCAGAAATGGGAATGGGGGGTCAAGGGTACATTTAACCAACCACAAAGTATCACAGCAGACTGGCTACATAGTAGGTGTGATACAAATGCTTTTCCCTTTCCTGACCCGCTTCTAAACTCCCTTTCAGAGCTCTAATCCCATGATCCTTCAAATACATGAGGGTGGCTAGCATATCTCCCCTGAGCCTTCTCTTCTTCAAACTATACATTCCCAGTTCTTTCCAACAGTCCTCACAGGATACGGACTGAAGACCCTTCACCATGCTGGTTGCCTTCCTCTGGACACTCTCCTGTGTATCAACATCCTTCATAAAATGTGGCTCCTGGAACGGAACCCAGGACTCCAGATGTGGTTTGATGAGGACAGAGGAGAGTGTGACTGTCAGCTTCTTAGTCCTGGGAGCTCTTCCTTTCCTAACACTTTTAGCCATTACTCTGGCATCTCCCTCTTCTGGTCCACCTGAGTCCCTCCCCTGCAGGCAGACCTCTTTTCACTTCATCCTCTCCAGGCCCCAGAGCCCCCTAGCTCTCATTCTCCTCTCATCTTTGCTTTAAGTCAAGGTTTCACCTATAGCACCTTAAGAGGGCTGCTCCCAAGGAACCCACCACCCCAGTGCAATGCTGGAGAGCCTGAGGCAGTGGGGGGAGGGGGAAGAGTACTGACTTTGGTATTGGAAATCCTGGCAAAGAATCTCATCTTTAACACTTATTAGCTGTGGGGACTTTGGGTCTGAGCCTCAGGAGGTTTTTTTGGTAATTTTTTTTTTTGTGAAGTGAGGACCACCGACCTAGAACTGGAGGGGATCCTAAAGACTTGCTAGTCCAATCCCCTCATTTTACATGTGGAGAAACTGAGGCCCAGGGAAGTGAAGGGATTTGCCCCAAGGTCATACAGGCAGTAAATAGGAGAGTCAGGATTTGAACTCAGGAACTCTGAATCAGTGTTTATGCTATTTTGCTCTCTTTCCCTCACAGAACTGTGGAAAGGAAAGTGCTTTGTGTATAGAATTATAAGGTTGGGACGGATCTTGGAGGCATCTAATCCAACCTATGTCTGGACACTACAACACCCAACAAGTATTCATTCAGTCTTTGTTTGAAGACCTCTAGTGGGGAAAAATGCCCACCACTTTCCAAGCAGCCCTCCCAGTCTGGGTCAGCTCTCATTGTAAGAGTGTTTTCCTAGACATGGAAACTACGCAGACAGGCCACAGCTGATGGCTCCCCCACCAGAAAGCCCCTTATTGTTTGAGGACAGATAACACTTCAGCCCTAGGTCCTCTTCTCCAGGCAACTACCCCCAGTTCCTTCAGCTAATCCTTGAAGAGCATGGCCTCCAGGCCCTTTATGAACCTGCTCCCTCGGCTCCGGATGCTATCCAGACAGCTGGGGTGCCCAGAAAAGGACACAGTTCTCCAGAATGGAGCACAATGGGGCAACCGACTCCCTCTTTCTAGACCATCTGCAGCCAAAGATCACACTCCCAGATTTATTGGTGATGTACACTCAGACTTCAGACTTGTTAGAGCAAGTATCTAAAGGAACCCATCCCCTTAAAAAAGAATAAAAATGAAAACAAGATATGTTCTTATTAATTTAAAGAACTCCAAGCCAATATACTTAAATAATAGTAGATTGACACTGAAAAATGGGAAATGGATAGAGGAGTGGACATTGACACAGATTATGACCTTTTCCTAAAGAAGTTTAATGGATGTAAGTCAATTGCCACAGCAAGGAGACCCATATAGGGCTGTTCTACCAGTACACATATTTGGACAGAGGCCACAAATTAACAATGTTCTGAGCTCAGAATTGAATAGGATGAAGGGAGCAGGCTGGTTGCCTTTGAAAAGCTGTGCAGTTCTATTAATGACCTCTAGCCTTCCCTTTAAAGAAAGTTCTACTCTAGTCAAACTGCTATATCTGCCAAGGATTGGGCATCACAGCATGCTAGACCTAGCAGCTCTCTGGCCAGCTACATGGGTAGATGTCATCTGCCGATGATCCAAGGTAAGATTTTCCCTTTGCTATTTGAAATCTATTCTGGGAGGAGAGGCAGGGACTATTTTGTATGCCAAGTGCCTTGCACATTATTATTATTATTATTATTTTTTACCAGGCCTGAGATTTCATTAGTATAAGGAACTCCCAGTGAGAAACTTCCTCTCCTATTACATAACAGCCTCTTTTCTTCAATTTCTAGTCTCAGAAAATTTCCTGGGTTGTTACTTAACTAAGGCATTAAATGATTTGCCCAAACTTGAACCAAGGTCATGCTGGTTCTGAAGCTAGCTCTCTGTCCAGGGGCTGAACTACCCATTACCAACCACCAACAAACTGAGCGTTGAGAAAATATCTTGACTCTTATAATGAAGAAGGAAATTCACAAGCGCAGATAGCTGCAAGGATGTCCTGCCTTCCCTGCTCATCTGTTTGCTTTCTTCCAGGGTTCTGAATGGTTCTGAGCAGTTCTGATCTATTCTCCTGGTTCCTGGCTCAATGTAAACTCCTCCAATGCAGGCATCCTATCCTAATCACACAGAAGTTCTCAGGAAATCAATCAAATCTGGCTTATTGGTTTAGATTCCAAAGCTCATTGCTCATGGATTATTTGCTGGTTGATTGACCTTTTTTTAGATTATCTATGTCAATATCCCTCCAGGGGCCCAGAAAACTAAGAAGTGACTTATTTTCCTTTGGCAATTTCCTTGGGAAGATATTAGGGCAGGTTTCCCCCCCCCCCTTTTTAAGCCAGGAGCAGAGTTTCCTGTTGGGTGATTAGCCAGTGAGAAGCAGCCCCCTCTTAGGAGCCAGACTGGTAGAGATTGCAGAGAAGTGAAATTACCTGATAAGGTCCAGCAGGGCATCAGCTGAGCTCATGATGGGCTTCCCACTCTGGCCGGTGGTTTCCTTCTGAGCTGCACCACCAGGGTGGATGATGGAGACCATGATAATACCCACAACGACGGCAACAAAGGTGGTCCAGAGGTAGTAGGCCACAGTGAGGATTCCTAAGCGACTGGAGGTCTTGGCGTCCAGGGATGCAAGGCCTGACATCAGGCTAGGAGAGAAAGGACAGAGCATCAGAGCTGTTCACCAGTCACTCAATCAATCGACAAGCATTTATTGAGCATCAACTGCATATTGAGCATTTAGTTGGGTACTGAAGACACAAAGTCAAAAGTGACACACACTTTCTTCTCATAAAGAACTTACATTCTGCTGGGGAAAACAAATGTGCTTATGAAAGAATGTGCAAAATATATACAGAATTAATACGTGGAGACTGATGGCTGGAGGTATTGGAAAAGCCACAGGTAGAATAGGCAGTGACACTTGAGCTGCATTTTGAAGGCAAGGAGGGGTGCTAAGAGCAGAGGTGAAGAGGAAATGCATTCCAGGCATGGGAAACAGCCTGTGCAAAAGTATAGAGGCTAGAGATGGCATCTCTGCTTATAAATCATAGAACCTTAGAACAACATGGAACTTTAGAACAGCAGCCCCTTAGAACCATGTAGAATCCTAGAACTTTGGCATAGAATATAACCATAGAACCTAGCATGCATAGAACATTCAATATTTAGAAGTTTAGAGACATATAACCAGTAGTGTGCTGGAACCAGATGTTACCAGCTGGAGAGAGCTCAGTGTGAGCATTTACACCTTGGAACGTGGCAAATGTTATAAATAATGTATGTGTTTTATATATGTGTATATATATGTTATATATATACACACACACACCATATATACTATATATGTACTATACATAATAGTATATGTAATATAATAAATAATATAAATAAATGCTGTAAATCAGCATTACTAATTAATTAATTGAAATTATTACTTTGTTGATTATCCAGACTTAAGAAAGTAATGGAGAAAATCTTAATAATGCTATTTAAACTTAACTAACCCCATGTGGTAGGGAGTAGGTTGCATTGTTATCTCAGTTCCATCATTACTCCTTCCTGCCCTACCTTCAATCTGTCATGCTCCAGGGCTCCAGCCTCCCCTTCCATCCAGCTTTCTACCCTGGGGCCCCAGATTTCTGATGGGTGAGCATTCACCATTTCTGGCAAGGGGCTTCAACCCACCACCTCTTCCCCCACCCCAAATACTTTTTTCCTCTCTCTTCCTCACCTCCCACCCCATTCCTTACTCTAGCTCTGAGAAGGATCAGCCCACCACCATCAAAATCCACCTCCCTGGCTACCGCTCCCCTGTATGCATTGTCTTCTATTAGAATGTAAACTCCTTGAGGGTTTCTCCTTCAGCAGCCAGTTCCTGGTGAGGCCACAGCTGGGGTATAATGTTCAGTTATGGAAGACATAGTTTAGGAAGAATGGTGGTTGACTTCAGACAGTCACTTTCCTTCTCTCTGTTGTGGAGTGGGAAGAATAATGGCTTGGGAGTGAGGAGATTTGAGTTCTAGTCCTGGCTTGTATGAAGTAATTCTGTGCTCTTAAGCCACTTCCCCATTCTTATCCTCAGTTTCCCACTTTGTAACATTAGCAAGCTGGACTAAATGATCCCCAATGTCCTTCCCAGCTCTGGGATTCCACGACCCTATGATCTTGCCTACCTTTAGTTGCTAACACTGTCTTGAAGTGGAATAATCTGCCCAGAGAGGTAGTAAGTTTCTCATCACTCAGATCTTCAGCTGGAGCTTGGATAGCCACTTACAAGCTGTGTCACAGAGGGAATTCCGCTTCTGGGAGAGATGCAGTCTGAGATCTTTTCTAACTCAGACACTCCATAGGCCATGACCATTGTCTTTAAATGTCTTAAAGGCCCTCGTCATGGGCAAGAGGGCAGAGATTGATTCCATCTGGCTTCAGGGTTGGCCTTGGTGGTCCTATTTGGTGCTGAGATGTTGTGTTCTTGCTGCATAACTTCTAAAAGGCTTCTAATATTTTTTGGAAGCAACATTGGTTTTGCAGTCAAGAGGCATGAGTTATAATCTTGGTTCTGACATTTACTAGCCTTGGGTAAGTCACTGCCCTTCAGGTTCCAGCTACGCAAGATGAGAGGATTGGTCCAAGAGATCCCTTCTCGTTCCCTATCAAGGATTCTGTCATTTCCAAGGTCCCTTCTAACTGTGGTCTGTGGTCTTTTTAAGCTCATCCCACACCATCATTATTGTTGGGTAGGGGCGCCGCCCTGTGGCCAGCATAGGTTTTCACTGCCTTCAGGGCCATTGGTATACCTGGGCTCCCCAGGGGAGATGCTCCCCAGGGAAGCCACATGATATTTTCCCAGAAGCCTTTAGAAAAATCAGCACTGCTGTCTCCTGGAGGTGGGGTTTGAGGGTGGAGAAGTAAGTCCCTGGACACCTGGCCTTGAACCCATGCCTTTTGCTGGCACAGTATAGATTGGAGACACTTCACGAGCATAGAAACAACCCAAACTAGAAGGAAATCAATTCATAGATGGTCCTAATTGGAATGGACCTTTGAGGCCACCTAGTACAACCACCATCCTTTAAAGATGAGAAAAGGGAACTCCAGAGAGGAGTGACTGGTCCAAGGTCACAAAGCAAATTTCTAGGTCTGGAGCCCAGGTCTTCTGATTCCTGAAGTCCAGCACTCTCCCCAGTGCCCTGCCCTGCCTCTCTCCCATTTAATCTCTAGTCTTTATGGTGGATTTGGGGGACTGAAAAGAAGGGTTGCTTCTGGTCAGGAGACCCAGCCAGATTAATTAACTTGGGGGAAGGGCAGCATTTGCTCTTCCAAAGAGATTCCCCCATCCACCTGCCCACCCAGACTGGGCAAAGGAAAAGTCCACCCTGAAAGATAAAGCAAGACTTTGTTGGCTTTTCAACCACATTTGGTAACAACTCATCTCTTCTCCTTCTTGGCCTTCTTCTTCAAGATTCATGGGAAAGGCTGAGGGTCTTCTCTGAGGCTCATTGGGAGGGGAAGGGCACAGGAGTGACAAAGATGCAACCCCTGCCTCCTAGACCTCACAGTTGAAGAAGGGTGTCTCTTCATTACTATAAGGGACTTGGAGACCCCAAGCCCAACTGCCTCATTTTACAAATGAGGACACTGAGGCTCATGATCTCACAAGGGGGCAGAACTGTGAAATACACTGCCATGTCCTCAGTATGGTACAATGAATAAAAAAATCATTGAATTTGGAGTCGGAGGGTTTGGGTTGGAATCCCAGCTCTGCTATTTACTGTCTAGGTGACTGTGGGCCAGTCACTTCATTTCTCTAGGCCTCAATTTCCTCATCTGTAAAACGGCTTTTCAGGACCAGTCCGGCTCTAAAGCTATCAAAAAAGAGGAAAAGAATCAAAATGATTTATAGCAGGTCTTTTAATGGTTGCGAAGGATGAGAATCTGAGGGGGCGTCCAGCAATTATTGGGGAATGTCTGAACAAGCTATGGCATACAAATGTGATGTAATACCATTATTGTGCCATTAGAAATGATGAAGGACAGCTAGGTGGCACAGTGGATAGAGCACTGGGCCTGGAGTCGGGAAGACCTGAGTTCAAATCTGACCTCAGACACTTACTAGCTGTGTGATCCTGGGCAAATCACTTAACTCTGTTTGCCTCAGTTTTCCCATATGTAAAATGAGCTGGAGAAGGAAATGGCACAAATCACTCCAGTATCTCTGCCCAAAAAACCCCAACTGGGGTCACAGAGAGTTGAACACGACTGGAACAACATTAACAACAAGAAGAAAAGAAATGATGAAGGGGCTGGTTTCAGAAAAGCCTAAGAAATGTTTTGTGAACTGATGCAGAGCAAAGTGAGCAGAAGCAGAACAATTTATACAAGGGCCAACAAATGACAAAGTCAAACAAAGACTTAAGATCTCTGCTGATTCCAGAGGATGGATGAGGAAGCCTGCCACCCACCCCTGACAGAGAGGGGAGACACTCGTGACACAGCCCAAGACATGTTTTGGGGCATGGCCAATGTGGGAATTTGTTTTGCTCAACTATGAGTATTTGTTACAAGCGTTTGATTTTTCTTCTTCAATGAGGAGGTGGGGCGGGGGGAAAGAGGGAAGGAGAACAAATAAATGCCTGTTAACTGAAAATATGATTGAAAAAGCTTTAAAAAGAACCTCAAACTTCAAGAAACATTTAAGCAGTCACTGTGTGTAAAGTTACCATCCTCTGGATACTCTCCAGTTTATCATTATCCTCCCTAAAATGTGGTGGACAGATCTAAACATAATATTCCAGATGTGTCTAACCAGGACAGAGGGGTAATCACCTCTTTAGTCTATGCTTCTCTGCTACTGGGATCATATTTTTGACTGCTATGTTACACTGTGGGCTTACATTCAAGCTCACGTCCACAGAAACTCCTAGAACCTTTTCATCTTATCCTGCACTTGTGAAGTCAATTTTTACAACTCAAGCATAAGGCTTCAACATTTGTTCCTATAAATTTCATTTTCTGCATTGCCTATATAGCTCAATGTTCTGACCTGCTGAGGTTTTTTTGGAGACTGGTTCCATCATCTAACATGTTTGCTATCAAGCTTTGTGTCATCTGAAATTTTCATAAACATTTTTTCTATACTTTCATCTACTTCCTTGATGAAAATGTTAAACAACACAGATGTAAGGGCAGATCCCCAGGGCACTCCACTGAAGACCACCTTTAGAGTCGATATTGGACTCCTGACTATCTTTTCAGTCTAGCCATTGAGTCATATCTAAATCAGCTGATTCATCTATTTTGGATGAATTGGGCTGGCTCTTAACGAGAGCTTTCTCTTTGTAGAAATTCATCAGCTGCTCCTTTACAGAGTCTAGGATTTTGCCAGGAATAAAAGTCAAACTTGCTGGCCTATTACTTGAAGACTTCCCTCTCCCACTTCTCTGGAAAACAGGCACAACAGTTGTCCTTTTCAAACCTGCAGACTTTCTCCTATTCTTCCGAGTCTCTCAAAGATCCCTGATGGGAGTTCATCAATCCTATCCTAGATCTTTTAGGACCCAAGCATGGATTCCATCAGGGCTTGGGGAATTGGAGTCATCAAGGACAACCAGGTATTCCCTTATTACTAACCTATTTATCTTAGCTT